CCTTTTCTATATTCTCCAATATAAATGATTTATGAGTGTTCTTAAAATCCTTCGCTCAATTAAACCCATTTTCCAATTTTATTACCATCTTCATCATATGATCCTCCACCACTTAAAAATTTAATTTTAATATTTTACATTATATCATGTATCTAACCATCTCCCTACTTAAACCAAATATCCCATCTACCAATTTTCTTATCGTTTCTATAGTCTCCAATATAAGTGATTTATGAGAATCCTTAAAATCCATCACTCTACTCAATCCATTTTCCAATTTTATTTCCATCTCCATTATATGACCCACCACCACTTAAATAGTTTTAATCTTAATAAAATACATCAATTTATTTATATATCTATATTCATCTTAATACCAAATATTCCATAAACCAACCTTTTTTCCATTTTTATATTCACCATTATATTTGATTTTAGAATAATAGCAAAATCTATCACTTAATTGTGTCCATTTTCCATTCTTTTGACCTTAAAAGTTGTAACGTCCAGCATCACTAAATTATAAATAATTTGGTCGATACATTAATTCTTCATCATATATATACTTCCACATTCCATATCTTTAATCATCTAGATAATATCCAGATTCGTATACTTCAGCTTAACTTTTAAATAATTGAATGATAATATACTTTCTATAATTTTTTGTAAGTTCAATCCACAAACCTTATTTTTTTTCATCATCAGAGTACCATCCACCTGCATCCCTTAAAACTTCACCTTTCCATGTTGTAATCCATTTTCCTACCTTTTAATTCAATTACCCATATTTTCCAGACCAGTTAAGATGATTTAGCTATTCTAAATTAGTAAAATTTTAAAATCCCACAGATTAATTTTTACTTGATTCTCTATTTATTAATATAAAATTATTTACATTCTTAAGAGTTAACCATCGAAGAAGTACTTTCTTTCATTTACATTCGTTATTGTTACTATTTAGACAATTTTCTTAAACCATCTAAGGTTGTAAAAGTTCCATACTTCACAATCAAATACTTATTCTGTATCTAACTTTTGATTATTGTCATTTTAATGCTCTTATTATTGATGGCTAGTTTAATGAATATTTATACTCTATTCCTCTTAAGATATTTTAGCAATTTGAACATGAGATTCCCATTTTTTTAAATAAAAAATAATTATTTAATTGTTGTTATTATTGGTCATTCAAACTTAAATGCAAATAATAGATTAAGATACTATATTAATACCCAAAAATGTTATATTATTGAATTTTTATACTAGACTTTTAGATTTAAGAAAGGAAAAAAAAGTGTGAATCTATTTATAGCAATATTCTTCTTCTAAAATATAATTTAGCTATTTAGCCAAAGATGATTCCTTTTGAATAAGAATGACTTTTATATGATATGATAGAATGAAAAGTATCATAAAATAATAAAAAAAAGAATAATGTTATTAAAAAAATGATATTTTGATAATACAACTATGAAATTCTTTATTTTTAAATTAATGGTATCTAATAATGATATATCTAAATTTTCTTCAATACCTATAAGATTCCATTTAGTTCAAAAATACTAATTGAGTGGTAAATCATTATATTTATAATGCTTTTATCAGACAAAAATGTAAAGACTGGCAGTTAAAGTATTATGACTTTTATAACATCTCAAATAAATACTTTTAAATAATTGGGAAAAAGTTGTAAATTTTGAGGACACATTATTCAAAAGTGAAAGAAATATTCAATAAGAAGTCAATAATAGGTTTACAAGAGAAAAGGGTGAAATATGATATTAAATAAAGAAGAGGATGAAATATTAATTTCAATTAAAAATAGGATACAATTATATATTAATGGAAATTATTTAATAGATTTAAAGGTAAAAGGTGCTTTTAAGATGAAAAAATTGTATTAATAAAATAATCATGATATTTGAGATTAATATAATTATTATTTTTTCAAATTTGAACATTTACTTGTTTATGAAGGATTTAATCAAAGATTGAAAAATAAATTTCAGGACTCAAATACAGATACGATTTACAACTAGATACTGTATAAATAAGTTGTGCGAAAATATGTAAAAGGCAAAATAGATGAAGTGACTAGATAATATGAATATACATCATTATAATGTTATTTGAGGAATTATCTCCTATTTTGAGGAAGAACCATCTAATTTCAAATTTCAGATAATTTTATATTTCATTAATAGTCGAAAGATTAAATCAGGATGGATAATTGTAGTTGATTATACAATTCTAATTCCTCATGAACAATACATTTATTTAATTAAAAAAAAATATAGTAATAATTCTATTGAATTTGAATTTAGTTAGAAGTATTATAAAAACGAGGAGAATTAAAAAAATATTTTAAAAAATTATGATTTTACATCTACTTTAGATGATTTTGGAACATTTATACTTTCTCTTCTTCATAAATTTTCTATATTCTCAAAACAACTTTTAAAATAAATATTAACTAAATTAATTCCTTATTTTACATTTTTTGATTAAATTGCTTTTGATTCATCATCTTTTTTGATCTTTTCTTAAAATAAATTGTCTGTATTTTATCCAATTTACTCTACTTTTTACATTAATAAACATTCAAAAATAAATGTATTTTCTTGATATTTATATTCAACAATTCTTATTTAAAATCATTTAATCTAAAATCTCTAAATGAATATAGATAATTGTCGATAATTTCATAATTATTCATTATTTTTTAAGATTTATTAAATAGATTTTAATGTTTCTATAATATTTGATGATTAACGTGATTATATAATCGGATCATATATTGTCTTACTAATAGCTATTATTTTTTTGTAAGTAATTTTATTAGATTTAAAATTCTAAAGTATTGATGAAATAATTTATTATATTTTTTGAGAGTTTCAACTTTTTCACATAATTCTCGTTCATATATTATACATGAATAACTTAATAGAATATTAAATTGTAGCATATTATACTGAAAATTTTTGACTATTATTCTCAAGTTCCACCCATATTCTATTATCATCTAAGTTTTTATGTTTTATTTTTTATTTTTCCCTCTCTAGAATCTTGTTTAATATTTTAATAAATAATTTCAAAAGTTAGCCCAAATGAAATCTAATAAAATTTGCTTTGCATAATAAAAAAACAATTATTTACTATTGAAAATAAGATCACTTAATCTGAAATACTTCAATCTATCAAAGATATATTTGATTATGTTTTCCTCTTCATCAATTGATATACATCAAAAAACATCATATTAATTTACTCGATAAAGCTCTACATCCTTATAAGAATAATATTAGATTGACTCATAGTTAAATCCAATCATTTCATGATAAATCAAATTTCTATTAATAAAAGCTTTATAATGGAATTATATAATATATAACAAATATAATAGTTTTCTAATTATTTTAGAAATTGGAATAAAATTGATGCTCTTGAGTCTATAAAAAATTTAAATACTATGTTGTGAACAAAAAAAAATATTTTTTTTAGCATAATTGCTTTACTTTTGAATGTTTTTTGAAGCTTTTATCATAAAAATATTGTATATTATTTATAATTAGCACAAACAAAGTATAAAATCATGATATTGTATGCAACTACTACTTTTAGTTAACTGTGGATAATCTTGTCCTTAATTGTTGAGAGACTACTGATTATTATAAAGAGAGGCTGTAATATTATTATGCACAAATTTTGATCAAATTTGTAAAATAAATGAAAAATTATAATATTCATATTAATTAAATATTTCATTTTTAATATTATTATTTCATTAAAATGAACAAAATACTAAATACTATTGATAAATTCGATATTTTTGGAGTTCCAATAAGTCTTTTAACTGATGCTAAGGCTTCTTTATATAAAAGTAAGTTTGGTGGAATAATTACTCTTTTGATTGGAAGCATTAGTTTAACATATTTTTTATATATTATTATATTATGGATTGATCATCAAATACCTCCTATTGTGAGTTTTAAATAATAAACTATCTCATATGCTGAATTAAAGTTATCAAATTCTATTATTGAATTAGAATTATAAGATTTTTTAGGAGATGTAGATCCATTTAGAAAAGAAAATAATATTATCACTCCTAATTTATACATTGTTCTAAATACAACTATATATGATAAACCAATTCCATTATTTAGTAGTGAAGATAAACCATTTAAAATATCAATAGATAATGGTACAATAGTTTTAAACCATGATTATACAGGAAATGATAGTCGTTTGGAAATGACATAATATTTACTTGTTTTCGAAAGTTGCTCTAATTTAACAGCTATACCTGGAAGTTATTGTGCTGATGAAAATGTAATAAATTAGTATTTATCTAAATTTCATGGATTTTTATTCTTAACAATTAAATTAAATTAACTTTAATATTCTACAGGAGAATTAGAAGAAATTTAAAAATAATATTATACAGCCTTAGAACTATCTAGACCTTTATATTCATAAGTTATGCTTAAATAGTAAGAAACCATTATTGATAATGGTATATTATTTAATAATTATAAACAATATTCTTTCTTAAACAATTATGAGTTAATTAATTAATAAGTAGATAATTTTTTCATCTCTTAGATAATTAGTTAAATGTCAAAATAAAAATATGAATTTAAGAGTTTTGGTTGTTATTTATTTAGAATTGATAATATTGCTGTGACAGAAAATATAACACTGCCAAAATTAGGTTAAATTTTAGCTTAAGTAGGGTCAATTGTGTAGGTTATCTTTTTGTTAAAATATATTGCAATATATTATAATCAAATTTTATTGGAAAATTAATTACTTTACGAAATAGTAACTATGTATTATCCAGATTTAAAAAAAATCAAGTTGAACTATTTCAACCAATTAGAAATTAAGCCAAATTCACAAAATAGTAGCGAGTATTCAAACTAAAATATTAAATATCTATATATAACTTTTAGTAAAAGAGCAAAGGAAAAATGCAGACTAAATAATATTTTATATGAAATCTCAAGACTATAGTTTATTATTTAATAATAATTTGGAGACTAAGTTTTATAACAGAGTCATTAAATGGGAGGAAAACTATCAAATAATTATTTAGATCATTAAAATAGTAAGGAATCAAATCGATTAACTGTTAAACCAGCTAATTCTTTAGATTTAGAAAATGAGTATGTTTTATTGGATCCATTAGAAATATTGTAAAAATAACCTTGGAGTTGATATATTTATATTATTATTATATTATACGATTTTTTAGAAGTTCATTAATGGATTTAACAAAATTTAGTCATTATTTAAATGAAATGGATATACATCATATTTCAATTCTATTGATGATTAAATATAAAGTATCAAATATATATAAACTAAATGTAAAGTACTGTATACTCAATTAATTAATATAAGAATTGTAAATTTTTTAGGAATTTCTTTAGCTTGGATTAATATTCTTTGTATGAAAATTTGTAATTATATACCTTATTTAAACATAATCCATGTAATTATTTAGAATCATAAATTAGTAAATTATAAACTATCTTTATTTTCTATGTTTACTAATTCTAGTATTCTATATAAATTGATAAATATTTTCTTTAAGAGTAATATGTTGTATTATTATTATAACTTTAATTTCTATTTCTATTAAAATTGTTAAAATAGTAGCATATATATATATAAGTATCAATTAATAATTTACACACATTATCGCTCTAAGATTGATATTAGACATTATCAAAAATTTTGAGCAATTTTTATATATTTAATTGTTCAAAATTTTTACATTATTTTAAATTCATTTAAATGAAAACAAAATTATTGCAAATTATATATCAGATGTTCAATTAATTTTTTTAATTTTCAAATAACAAATTTGGAATTCTTTAAAAGATAAAACACATTTATAACAATTTAAGAACTTTCATCGAATTCATATATTTATTTTTTATACAATTCATTATGTCCTAATAATTGTTTCCAAATCTTTAACCTTTTAAAATTTAATAAGTAATTAATAGAAATATCTATAATTATTTTAAAGAATTTTCTAATTATAATTAAACTCTCGAAGTTAATAATAAATCATTTAGAAATATTAGAATATGAGAATGAATAGAAAATAATCTTAGTTCATACAAATTTCTTGATTTAATGGCAGAACTTAATATGAAGCATATTCATTTATTAATGAAACCCTGGATTTATTTTATAGTTAATCTCCTTATTTCCCTAATTAAAAGAAATCTTCTTTTTATGGCTTATGTCTCATAAAAAATGGTTGCCAACATTAATAAAAACTAAAAAGAAATTTAAAGTAGAGTAAGATAGTAACTTGTAAAATGAGTTATGCTAATCATAGCATAATATAAATATAGTCCAAATTAATTAGTATTAGTATAGCATTGTACCTAAACGTCATAATTGTAATTTATCTAGATTATATGTATGCTTTAGTATTTCTGGTAATAATTTAGCTTTAGCTTGATGTAGCATAAGGTTAAAACTTAAGTAAGAGAAAAAACTTCGACAATCTTATAATAATTTCTGGAGGATAAATTTTAACATACTGCCTAAGCTTTTTGGAATAGTCTTATCTCATTCAAAAGGATCGCCCTAAGTTGATATTGAAAACTTGTGATAGAGTTTTTAATCGTCTTTTCTTCTCCTTTTGCTCATGATGAACAGTCAAGAAACTTAATGAGATAGCCTAGAAAAAGGAAAGGGAAAGAATGGATGAATAGAAAAGGATAAACCTTCATTTTACAATTATTAATCATATTTAAATCTCTAAACTAAATGATAGTTAAGACTTGTTAAAATTAAATGGTTTCACAAAATAAATCTACTCTTGCTATTAGGAAGCAAATATTATTTACATTAATGATTAACCCAAGTATTTCAAGGGTTATGGAGAGTGCAGATTTAAAATTATCTTTTAATGTCAATTTATTTGATCTTAAGATAAAAATTGTTCAAGTAAACAAAAGTGAAGAGTATTTTAATGAAAGGAGATTTGGGTTTTTAATAATTAGTTTGCTCTAAATTTGATTAGAATAATTAGAAAGAATTTCATAATGGAAATACTTTTACTTCAATGTTAGGTAATGCCATATATTAATTGATATATTTAAAAATTGACACATACATACTATCTCTTAGAAATTTCTTAGTGTAAATACTCGAAAAAAAGTATCATGCATTTCAAATGCAATATCTTATGATTAAAATCCAATTACTAAGACCACCCATAATTATGTTGCTGATTTAAATTGGTAAATTTGTGAGTTTTTTTTCACTTCCTCACATTAGATACTTTGGTCTCCTTTCTATGTTATATATTAGGGTTTTTATTATTATGTATGATTCCATTTTCTTGATGAAATTGATTTGCATTCATAATCAGGAGGACAAGAGATTATCAACTTAATAGATACTAGATTTTGATTTTGATTCATATTTATAAAATAATAATGAATATAAAGAAACAACCATTTATTTAACATAATAAATAGATTTTTTGAGTATTTTTCTTGATAATAATAATAATAATAATAATAATTTAAATCCTTGATCTTGGATTTTATATTATAAATTATTCTAAATTTATAATAAATAATTCCAAAACAATATTCAGAAATTTATTATATAAAAATAATTTCTAAAAATAATTTTAAAAGTAGTTGCTATTATAAGATAGTTTTCTTATGCAAAACAATCCTAATATATATTTATAAATTCATTTAAACTAATTACTAAACAACACAGGAATCTAAAAGCAAAGTTAATTTTCTGAAAATCATTAGATTATAATATAATACTAATCCCATTATGATATTCATTCTTAGATCGACAATTATACTTTAAAATTAAAATAAAATTATGCAAATTTTTCAGCATCTCAAATCTTTAGAATCCCCCATCAACTTAATTTTAATAACTCCTATATAAATTTATGCTACCCTTCATTTTTTATAAATGAATGATTCAAATTCTATTTTATCATCAAAGCTATTCAAAATTTAGTTAAGTTTAAATTCATTAAATATTTGGATTCTTTTATTTTTAACAATAAAATTGATGTGAAAATTTTCATTTAAATAAAAATTAGAAAAATAATCAGATCAATCCAATTGATATTTATAGAAATTTCAAAAAATTAGATTTAAAAGCTCATAATTAATCTCGATTAATTCTCAAAGGAGTTAATTTTCTCAAACTAATCAAATTTGAATAAATTTATAGGCAATCCATCAATAATATGATATGAACTAATTATTCACATAATCAAATACTATATAACTTAAAAAAATGATGAGAATTAAAAGTTGTAATTACATAAAAATTTTCATTTTTGGAATAACTATAAATTAATATATATAATTTAGTAAATTATTATCTTCATTCATCATAAGATCAAATTATTTACAGCAGCTAATAAAATTATCTAAACCAAAGATTTTAAATTCATTTATAATATTTGAATTGTATTTCCTTGAAGCAGGAGAAAAATATGAATCAATTCTTTATTAATATCTCTAATTCTAATTTTCAAGAGTATTAGTAATTAATTGTTTCAGATATTCATACATTAATATAGTTATAGTTAGTGATAGAATTAAAAAAGATTTTTCATTTTAATTTATATGACTTAATATTTTTACAATATATTTCATTTTTAATAGAAATGCAAAACTTATAACAAATAATTAATGATTCGAAGGTGATTAATTCAAAATAAGAGATCTTAAATTATGTTAAATAACACAAGATATACTTTCCTACTAATTTAGAATCTAAACTTTTAAAATGGAATAGCAAACCATTGATTATATAAGAAACAAATCAATTAGAAGTAAGTTTTGGAGTTTTCTTTTGTTAAGTGATAAAATTATCATAGTAATAATCTGTAGGTGAAGACTATACCTACTTTCATTAAAATTAATAGTTAAACGATATCAATCAAAATTAATATATAAAACTTTGTCAAGATTTTTTCCCAAATATATAATAAGGCTTTCCTCGAAATATTAATAATTCTAAAATTTTTGATAAATAATTATTTTAATGTTTTTCTCTAGAAAAACATTTAATTGGAGAGCAGCCTTAATAATTTTAAAATCGATAATATATTTCACTTAAAAATCAAAGTGAAGAGAAATTAAACTATAAAATTTTGGTATATCAACGCCCTCATGAATATGGCCCTAAAGTACACATTATATTTTCAACAAACAATGATATTGATATTCTAACCAATAAAATTTTTTCCAATATTCCTCAATTTCCTTAAAATTATGCCAAAACCTAATCCACATTATAACCAAGACCTGATGTTAATAAAAGCAATCCTAATACCTAGTATAAAGATTAAGGACCTCAAAAATTTCCTTTTAGGCCTGGTAATTGCTTCCAAACCTAGATTGGGTCTGGAATTCCGTCCAATCCCATTAATCAAATTCAAAAAAATAATCCAATATATAAGAACTCTAGTAATATTAATTTAGTACCAAATTAAAAGTATAAAGTAAAATAATAATAAATATAATAATAATAGGAATAATGTTAAAAAAATATGTAGAACTAACCAATTCAGGGATGTATAACCTCAACAGCTAACCTTTCAGTTAATGATAATTATTGGCGATAAACACCAACAATTATGGATACCCAAATTGAAAAATAAGAATATTAACAAATTAACAAAAAATTATTTTATTGAATATGTTTTAAATCATGATTAATGGATTAAGACACCTTGCTGCAATGAAAAGGTTCACAATCAATGTCTTTAAACTTAATTAGAAGAGAAAGCTAAGTAAAATATGAATTTTGAAAATTTGCCTTGTTTTGTTTGTCAAAAATAACTCTAAGATTATGAAGATTTTCTAAAGCATAATATTTCTAAAGAACTTTACAATAATATAATAAAAAGAAGATTTTTCTCAAATGTTTCTTTAGGTCACTCTCTTAGAGAAAGCTGCCCTGATTATCAACAATTAAAATAGTTTTGATAAGATAAATCTATTATTTGATAAGATTATTTATATTTTAATTATCAAGTATTTATTTATTTTTGTTTAAATAATATAACATAGAAGATCGATTATTTATTTGCTCTTAGTTTTAATGAACTATTATTTTTATAGTTTGTTGATTAAAATTATTGGTGAAAGATAATTATGTAAATTTGCCATTTATCATTTTATTTGGTATTATATCATTTAAGGAATCAAATTTAAATTTAATAAATGAATCAAAAGTAATGTTTCTTGAATTTCTTAGTAGATTTTTTTAAATCTGTTGTTCTTTAAGTTCTATCAATAAAAATTAATTCAATTAAAAAACTACTAGAAATATCAATTTCCATACATTATAAAAGAGCTTATTTAGCAACTTTTTATCAAAAATGAAAAATAGAAATTAACATAACACTTGACCCATTACGAAAATATGAAATAAAGAGATGATATAAGTTTGAGTTTTGGATCAAAAAAATAGAAAAAATAATAGATCAAATTGTAATATATTATTTATTTTCTTAAACTTAAATATTAATTGGATTTGATGTCTATAAAAGATCAAAATAAATCAAAAAAGAGCAGAAAATAAAAAAGTAAATAATCATTTATGACTATATATTATTACAATTGACACTTTTTAATATTTCCTTTGAATAAACAGCCTGAAAAAGGAAGTAACTTATTTTTGCAAAGCAGAAAAAACAGAAAAATACATATTATTGATATATCATTTTTAATTTCTTTATGTTTTAAATTCATAAAGAAAGTATAAATTTGTGATATAAATCAAATGTTCGCAAAAAATGTGAATAAATAGAATGGCTTTTTTTTCTATATATATAAGATTTTCACAGTTTTTATTGAAGGTCTATGTTTATTTGCTTAATCTACTTTAAATAAAACAGCAATAAAATCATAATAAAAAAAAATGAAATTATCAATTGACTTGATAGAGTATAACTAAATTACCTCTAAATTTTGTGAATTTTTTTATTATTATGAATAAATTAATCATGTTTAAAATATAAGGGGATAGTAAGTTATAAGATATTGGTTATCAGAATTTTCTTTTTTTTAATACTTGTAGATTGAGATAATTCTCTGGTGGCTTGTCCTGATATATATTAAAAAAATATCCAAATTAAATATATTTCTCACATTATATTTCTATTCTTAATTTTCAAATTTATTTTTAGATAGGAAGATTATAATAATTAAAATAAATCTAAATATTAACTAGTAAGTTATGTAAATAGAATATAGAATTTTGGGTAGTATGAATTTTATAATATTAAAATTTATCAGTTATAACTTATAATATTAATTCATTATCATTAAATAGATGTTTTCCAAATTTTATTATGATTATTTATAAATTTAATGTTTAAATCTTCTAGAAAGGAAAATGAAAAGGAACTTTTATGTGGCAATAATCATTAGCTACCAATCTTAATGGTTATTCTAGATCCTAAATTAGAATTAAATAAGCGACTTTTATGTGCAGAATGTATCAAATGCTTATCTACAAATGTCAAGACAATGGGCTATGAACTGATTTGTAAAAAAATTGAAGAGGTTTAAAATTAAAAGAATGAAAAATTGGAGAAGACTATTCAGTTTAATATTAAGCAGATTAAAGATTTAGTGGGAAACATACATAAATTAAAATCTTAGATTAATTTCTAATTGGATGAAATTATTGGGTATAGTGGCGCATGGATTCAAAATTTATATTAAGTAGGGCTCAATAATTCCAAATATAGTTTTCATTTATAATTAGAAAAATTGATAACTGAAAAATTAGAAAGTGAAGAAAAGTCTACTTATATGAATGAAATCAACTAGGCTAATTATTTTTGGAAATCAAAAATGAGCGAAAAGTTAGAGTTTTTTAGGTCCTTCAAGTATAACTAAAAGTGTTAAGATATATTATCAAATTTTAATTAATATACTAATAAGAAAGAGGAACCAAATCAACCAAAAATATTATCTTTATAAAATTAAATATCAACTTAAGAATTAAGCTTACAATAAAGTAGAAATGACCATGACGGATAGATTTAGTTATCCTTAAAGGATGATTTTATGAAGCAAAACAACAAATGCTATGCAATAGCTTTTAATAAAAATGGATCATAAATGGTATCAATGAATAATTTCGATATTAAAGTTTGGAGTTTTCATGATGGAAAATTATAGTTGGAATCTACGCTGCAAGCACATACCAGTTATATTTATTGCTTTGTTTATAGTAAACTACAATAGAGCTTTATATCTTGTTCGAATGATAAATCTATCATTTGTTGGAAAAAAAATAATTATAATAATTGGAAAAAATCACAAGAATATAGATTGCATATGGGCTGGGTTGGTTGCATGAATTTAAATAAAAATGAAACTTAATTATTATCTGGAGGTGAAGATAAATAAATTATTGTTTGGTAAGTTGATCTTAATTAAAATAAGTTATCTTATCTCTATTCATTAGAAAAACATATGAATAGCATAAGGGCCATTAGTTTAAATGAGTCTGAAAATTCTTTTGTGTCTTGCGGTGATGATTAATTAATAATAATTTGGGAAATAGGTTAAGACAATAAATTTTAATTTAAGTAAACCTTTAAATAGTTTTTAAATTGTTCTGGATGTCATTTAAAATTTTTGGATGATCAGAAATTTATATGGTTACCTTATAGTAAAGAATTAAATTTGGTTTGTCTATTTTCCAAAAAAAATGGGATTTATGAAGAGGATTGTGAAAATAGAATAAAATTAATTATAAATAATAACAGTTTAGGTTGCTCATTATTCCCAATAATCTATTTGAAGGATAAAAGTATATTATTTATTAGAACTAAAAATATCATATTTTTATTAAAAGAATAAAATGGAAAGTTTTTTGTTGTAAATGAATACGACTGTATTACCAATTGGAATTTTGGAAATGTAACAGATGACGGTAAATACTTAGTAGTCTGGGACGATCATAAAAAGGGATATTCATCAATAGAATTAGATTATAAATGATAAATCTAAATTAATTTTATCAACAAATATAATATTTTATACAATTCTAAGTATTTAATAAATTTTAAATAATATATATCTTTATTATTATTTGAAAGCAATATAGGAATCAAAGTAATAGGTATTTATCAATCTAATTCATATAACTAAAGTATTTTCTATTACTTAAAATTAAACTAAAGGCAAGTTAGAAATTAACTGATTTCTTCATCATTAAATTTGCTTCATTTTATTTTTTGAATTCCTTTATTTGAGTATCATAACATTCATCTATATTGTTTAAGTAATCTTTCATTATTTGAAATGGAAATAAATATTTATTTTTATTGTCATTTAATTATTTCAATTCATTCAAATATCAAACACTTTAATTGAAATTCATAAGTAATTGAAGTAATTGATTTTGATTTATTTCACTTGTAAACATATTATTTAATATCATACAGTAATAAAATTTATTGAAATTCTTTATAATGAGAAAGATTAGAAAAATCCTAAAGAGACAATTGGCAAAAACAATAGACTAAATCTATAATTAATATGGAACCGACTATCGAGAATTATTATATGTTAAAATTGAATAATAATAATACTAATTATTATCTTTATAGGTGAAAGTATAGAAAGTGAATTATTTTAAACATAAGTTTTATTTATTGTTTATCACAATCGCCTTTTTTATGGATTTGATTTTATTAATACTTTTTATAAAACTAAGATAGAGAAGTCTAAGGCAACCTTTACCACTCTATGAGCCATCAAATTATCCTTCATTTTTTTAATTTTTGAATGAGTAAATTAATATTAATTTTCGATAATCCTCTTAAGTATTGATTAATAATAAAACCTATCCCTATTTAACACAATAGTAATTATAAAAAATAATAAAAATAAGATAATAATTGAATATCAAAAAATAATTATCATATGTGTTTGGACTATTTTTTTATGATTGTGCTAATTTTCACTATACGATTAGAACGATTGTTTTATATTTTAACAAAAAAGTTCTTGTCAAACATATATATTAATTTAGCTATTTTCACAAATTAATTGAAAGTTATTGTTTTGAATTTAATAATTATTGAGTTATCTTAAAAATTTAATAAAATAAATATATAATTGTTTTAAATAGATGTAAATGATTTAATAAATAAGATTTCTTAATAAATTAAACAAAAATTAAATATATTTGTATTTTAATAGATTAACTTTTTATAATTTAAAAATTAAACAAATCTATATTTATATAAATATAGTTACATTATATAATTAAATAAATTTAATAGTATATTTTATATTATATACTTTTTATTATATAACTATTTTATTATACTGATGTATGTCAATTTATTCACTTCTAATTGTTAATAAATTATAAGAGAAAATTCTTGTTGAGCCAACTTTCTTACTCTGTTTTAAATTAACTCTTATTAATTTTTTCAAAATGAATATTAACTAATTAAGATCCAATTTTAAGTTTTAGATTAGACCTATAAATAATAATTTTTCAAGCTTTTAATAAAAAAAAGTTATCAATTTAATTGGACTTTGGATATATCTTCTCTTAAGATTTGATCAAATTCAGAAGAATACACTTAATTCTTATATTGAAAATTGAATATTAATAACTTGAAAAGCTGATTAAATTACTTTTACTAATAATAATCTTGTTTGTTTATATTAGAAAGTTTATATAAACGAAGAAATTTAATGGATAAAATTTTCGATTTTATTAGGACACTTAATAGATTAATTTATTTATATGCTATTATGTAAATTTTCATTCTAAATTTGAATAATTCATTGAAGTTGTTTCAAGTCCAAATCCTGTATTAAATCTAGGATCTTCAATTTTAGGTGTAGTAGCAGAATCATACTTTGGATAATCTTTAATAGAATCTAAAGTAGAAATCCAAGGGGATGGTAATTTATTGAAGGAGTTATTTGTTCCTCCAAATCCATATTCACCAAAAATCGACTTTACAATAGCTTCACCACCTGTAGTACCTGGAAGCCAAGCTGCTATAAAAGCATCACTAAAAGTTAATGGATCCTCTATAAGCATTGGTCTTCCACTTATTAGGACAGTAATTACTCTACTTAAACCTTTAAGAATATTGTTAATTAACTAAAAATTTTAGATAGTGATACTTATTTTTCATATGTACCTGTTTTAATTTCTAATCTTGTAGCTTATGATTCAGTTTAGTATTGATTATCCTTCTAATTGTATAAACAACCTTTTTTATCTTTTGTTTAACAATACTTACAATTAATATCACCCATATACTCAGCATATGGATTTTCTGCTAATACATGAATGACTATAGTGTTTGCTTAAGAAAATTAGTCTTGATTTGCAATTAACAAGTTTCTGAAGTTATTTCTNATATAAATATAGTTACATTATATAATTAAATAAATTTAATAGTATATTTTATATTATATACTTTTTATTATATAACTATTTTATTATACTGATGTATGTCAATTTATTCACTTCTAATTGTTAATAAATTATAAGAGAAAATTCTTGTTGAGCCAACTTTCTTACTCTGTTTTAAATTAACTCTTATTAATTTTTTCAAAATGAATATTAACTAATTAAGATCCAATTTTAAGTTTTAGATTAGACCTATAAATAATAATTTTTCAAGCTTTTAATAAAAAAAAGTTATCAATTTAATTGGACTTTGGATATATCTTCTCTTAAGATTTGATCAAATTCAGAAGAATACACTTAATTCTTATATTGAAAATTGAATATTAATAACTTGAAAAGCTGATTAAATTACTTTTACTAATAATAATCTTGTTTGTTTATATTAGAAAGTTTATATAAACGAAGAAATTTAATGGATAAAATTTTCGATTTTATTAGGACACTTAATAGATTAATTTATTTATATGCTATTATGTAAATTTTCATTCTAAATTTGAATAATTCATTGAAGTTGTTTCAAGTCCAAATCCTGTATTAAATCTAGGATCTTCAATTTTAGGTGTAGTAGCAGAATCATACTTTGGATAATCTTTAATAGAATCTAAAGTAGAAATCCAAGGGGATGGTAATTTATTGAAGGAGTTATTTGTTCCTCCAAATCCATATTCACCAAAAATCGACTTTACAATAGCTTCACCACCTGTAGTACCTGGAAGCCAAGCTGCTATAAAAGCATCACTAAAAGTTAATGGATCCTCTATAAGCATTGGTCTTCCACTTATTAGGACAGTAATTACTCTACTTAAACCTTTAAGAATATTGTTAATTAACTAAAAATTTTAGATAGTGATACTTATTTTTCATATGTACCTGTTTTAATTTCTAATCTTGTAGCTTATGATTCAGTTTAGTATTGATTATCCTTCTAATTGTATAAACAACCTTTTTTATCTTTTGTTTAACAATACTTACAATTAATATCACCCATATACTCAGCATATGGATTTTCTGCTAATACATGAATGACTATAGTGTTTGCTTAAGAAAATTAGTCTTGATTTGCAATTAACAAGTTTCTGAAGTTATTTCTATCATCAAGAATTGCATCTAAATTAGTTGGATCCGAATATTTTGAATAATAAATTTAAGTATCTTAAAATCTTTATTTAATAGCATCTAAGATTGATGAAGCTCTGGATTTTTTCTTCAAATCTCCAGACCAGTAATCATTACCATTATATCCTTACCATCTAATTGTCCATCCGCCATTTTGAGCACCAATGTTATCGAAATCTGAAAATATTTTATATTATCCATTTCCTATAGGGATATATCTATCTCCCAATAAAATAATGTGTTCAATTGAATTTTTGTTCACAGGAAGTGTATTTAGTTAATTTTTTAATAAAACTAATGATTAAAGAGCTGCTTACAAAGCATCTTAATATTCCTATTCTTTGTCCTTTACTATTTCTAATTTTTTTCTTTCTTATAAATTATACTTTTTTACAATTACTTCGTTATATTCAATCAATCCCATTTTATTTTTGATTGCTAATATTCTCCTAACAGCATCGTCTAATCTTTTTATGTCTATTTTTGGTTTATTTTGATCAGTTTCATTGACCAATTTTTCAATTAAGGTCTAGTAGTCTTCAACATTTTCAGAAATCATTTACATATCGACTCCAACATTAAATGAGTCAGCATAAGCTTTGTCTAAAGGAATTTTTTAAGATTCTCTTGGCAAATCAAATGAAGCGGTTTTGATTACTGAATTATAATCACTAATAACAAATCCTTCAAATCCTAATCCACCTTCTCTTTCTGATGCTTTTAATATACTATTAACAAATGGATGTACACTCATAGCCACACCATTGATTGCATCATAGCTGACCATTATGCTGCCAGTTAATTCTTCTATAGCTCCTTCATATCCTTTTATATTATTCTAAATAAAGACATCCATAAATTGCTAATCTACAAGTGAGTCTCCTTCTTCATATCCATTTATTGTAGCTCCATCTCCTATAAAATGTTTGACTGATGTTAAAACTCCATGTATATGTTCTGTTTCTAATTCGATATTTTAGGCTTCTTTAACAAATGCTTTAGAATAGTATTTTACTTTATCTGTGTTTTCTCCCAAAGTTTCATAAAATCTTCCCCATTATGGATTATGTGATACTGCCACTGTGGGTGAAAATACAAAATTAAATCCACTTTCAATCACACTATCTCTCATCCATTTCGCTGAATTCTTAAAGTTTTCAACATTGTTCGATGCTGCTAGACCAATGTTATGAGGAAATAATATTTCTCCAACAGAATGTTGATTACCACGTATAGCATCTGTACCAAGCAATGGTTTTATAATGACTGTAGTTGATTTTTCTTCACTTATATTCACTATTACAGAAATTCCTTAAGCTAATGCCAAATCAGCTACTTTTTTCCATTATGAATTGTTGGCATTAATACAAGATCCCATTGAGGTAATATTACTTTCATCGTCTGGACATCCATTTCCTCCCACTAGCAAAGATCCCAGATTCCATTCCTTTATCTTATTATATTATGTTTTCCCTTAAGCATCATTCAAATATATAAAATCAACTTAAGTGGTTTAGCCAATTTTTTCTGCTAGGCTCATACTCTTTAGTATATCATCGATTAAAATATCTACTTTCTTTTTTATCCTATTCTCCTTAGTTAATACCAAATAGAAACACAAATAAAATACTAATTTCATTAATATTCAGATATATTTCATAGATTTAATATTTTATACATATAATAATCTTATAGAATTCAAGTAGATTTATTCAAATTTATTTATTATCAAAATTAAAGAACATTATCAAGAGAATATCTAATTAATATTCTAAAAAAACAGTATAAATATTAAAAATCTTGAATTGATTTAATAAAATCAGCTGGACTTAATTAATCTATAACATATATAATAGAGCCTAATAAATTTGATTATTCTTTATTCTATTACGGGTTGTATAAAAAAAATTAATAGAAAGTAAATAATAGGTCAAAAGTAGTAAAAAGGAATAAACAAGTATTTATAAATAAGTAAAATCAATAAAAATATATATAAAATATTTTCAGTTTTAGTTTAGATAATATTTATAATAGAATAACATATTTTAATAAGAACAACATCATTAACTTTTATAATTAATTATTATTTGATTATATTTTTGAAATTATAAGAATTTTTTATTTATAAATATCAATCTATTTAATATTTTAATAATAGTTATATTCTTTTTTAAGAATTTCTAATATTTATTCTACAATTAAAATATAAAAGTGCTTATTGATTCACTCATTTATTAAAACATTTTAGTAGTATTTATAAATCAATCTAAAAGGTAATAAAGTTACTATTTTTTTGTTTAAATATAAAAAAATTGTCATTTATTAAAAAATAAATCTCCATTCAATTTGACCTTAATTTTCTTTTTTTCTTACTGTCATTCTTTTGAATTTTTTATATTTAATGAAATCCTTAATTTAAATTCATCTTTTTAGATTTATTTCTTTATTTAAGATTCCTTGATTATGTTCAAAAAAGGGCTTTTTGATCGTCAATAAAAAATAATTTTAATTCATTTATTCAATATAAATGTTATTTTTTTAATCATGAAAAATTCTAAATTATACACTCCAAATGATCTGATTGAACTTGAAAACCACAAGCGTTACTCTTCAATAGGAAAGAGTAATTCTTTAAATTCATCTATTTCTAGTGTTAGATTCTTTTGAAGCAGGCTGCACCTGCATATGGCTTCGGATCATCAACCAGATATTAAGCATAATCTATATATCTGGATAAGAAATTACTTCAAAAATGGAAACTTAGTCCAGGGTCTTGTTATAATTCCTCTAATTTCATAAAAGAACTTTTATCTAAAAATACAGCTTTGAAAATAGGAACAGTGAAAAGGGATTTACTAAATTCTACTTAGTATGATTATTAGGCAAGACAGGATAAAAATATATTACATCATATTAAAAATTTAATAGTTTAAACCTCATAAGGCAAATGATTTTCGAAAAATGCATTCCACTATTGTTAAAATTTGCCTTACCTAACGTTTCAAAACAGATTATAAAAATAAAGTTCCTGGACCTGATCAATATAACAATCTCATTAAAACAATAGGACCTCATTTTACTAGAGCTCCCAGAAGATCAATTTCTAAATCATTTAAAGCTTCTACTCCTAATTTAATTGGTCCTGGAGCTTATGATTTAAACAAATCATTGGATATCACTCACGAAAGCTAACCTAGTATTTGATTCACAAAAGGTGATAAAATGAAACCAATTAAGAGTATTGATAAGAATTAAACCTATTATACTAAGTATTCTTTATAAAGTAACCTTAGGGGTTCGATTGTAGTGCAAAGTAAAACAAACTGCATTACTAAACCATGTTTTTCTATAGGCAAGGAAAGTAGAGATGTCAAGGCAGGTATTTTTAAGAGAGATATGGAAGGTATTGAAAGAAAAATAAAAATATCAATGCCTAAATTTTGAATACTATTAAATTTTAGATAAATATCAATATCTATCTTCACATAATTTAATTATTTTGATAAAAATTGACTATTTCTTACCATTTCTCAAGTTATATCAATTGCTCCTACAATTCAATTAAAGAATCAGTTGATACCTTTTCAAGGATTTCACGAGTTAATACAAAATTATTTTCTTTTAAAATTTTGGGGGTTTTTAGCAATATTTTTACATATTGTTCTTTTGCAAAATTCTTTAATTCTTCAAATTTTTTGACCATTTCTTCTTATTTTTCAAAAATCCTATTTTATTCTGCAGCTTTTAAATCCAGTATAATTCTCTATAATTTTTTATT